TGCATGGTGTTAAAACACATCCATCATGTTTTAAAAACCATTTTAACAAAAAGAAAACAAGTTTGAAGAAGATGATGAAGGAGAAAGTGTAAGAAAAGAGCAAAACTTGAAGGAAAAGTGAAGTAAAAATCGATTTTATCTTCAAGAATACCACAAGATGATGAAGATTTCGAGTTTGAGGAGTGTTCTTGGGTTTGTTTTCTGGAAAATTTCTTGGTTCTTAGAGGGAGTAAGAGAGAATGGAGTGGTGTTTGGAGAGAAAAAGTAGAGAGAAGGTAGAGAGAGTTTTTAGAGAGAGAAAGAAGATAAATGTGTGTGTGTTGGAGAATGAGAGTGTGAGAGAGATATGGGGAGAGAGGGATCCGATTTTAGGGGAGGAGAGGCTCTCTCTCTCTTGTTTCTTTTATAAAAATTCAAATCTTTTATAAAAATATCCAACTTTTTATAAAATGTGCACCTTAACCTAGTTTTTATGCATAAAACTCTTGATTTTTGACTTATAAATCAAGGGTAAATGTTTAATAACTAAATCTTTATTTTTCATTGAATTGTATTTCATAATAATTATTATGATAAGATAATATTATAAGGTTTATAATTGTTTTTATAGGATTTTTAAGGTTAAAGTTTATAAATATGAGTTTTTAGGGCTTTTAGGGCTTTGGAGTTTAATAAACTTTGAATATCAAAATAAATAGAATATTTGAGACTTTAAATTATCTTATGGTATTATAACTCTTTTATAGTTATAAATAATGTTTGTAATTTATTTTTATCGGTTTATTGGCATTCTATGTAGTGATTCCGAGATTCAAGCGAAATTGAGGAATCGAGTATACTAGTCCTAGTCTTCAACTTTGACTTAAGTTCCTACGAGACTCGGACCTAATTTATACCACTAGGTCAAGTGCATGATGTGTGTATATGATTCATAAAAAGGTGTTCGATTCAATGAGCGACCCGAATATGGATAGTTACTACAGTTAAGTAGCTGTAGAATTCACATATCAATGTGAAATCTAAGTACACCATCCATTGTTTCTATCTGTTTCCAAGTTTCTACTAGGTTATAACTTAGCTTCTAATTACTAAGTCTAATATGTGTTGTGCCTATATGTGCAACTAATTCTAGTCAAATCTAGAACCGACTCGAATTTTGACGGTTGTCACAAAACTCTTCTTTTGACTATGATTTGGCCCTATAGTGGTAGAACCTGGTGAACCGGGCGTAGTACTTCTCAACCTTCTGTGAACTTTTCTTCTCTTATCATTTTTGCTACTTTGTTTAGTTTAGTGATTGATTTCTTAGAGAAACTGGTAAAGTAAAGACAGACTCTTTCGAAAGTAATGGTGGCTAGGAATGGCTTCAGTCAGCTCATCGATTCACCTTATGGTCGACTTGCTTGAATCGAAGAAGAAGAAACCCCCGGACTAGAGCCTTCAGTGCTTCTCCCCCATGAATGTGATCAACAAGAATTGATGTACCCACCATTCTAGATAGGAAAGAGATTGATGGTAAGAACCAGTACTAATCTTATAGCAAGCCAAAATAGAGTTTAGATAGGTAAGAACAAGTGCCTATTTCTTGCTAGCCAAAAAACAAGTTTGAGTTGTCGGGGTTGGATTTGAAGCATCAAGCTTCTCCTATACTTTCTCAAAGAAATGCCCTTATCTCGATATTTATTAGAGGCTAGAGTCTAACCATTAAAGAAGGCTTGAACAGGCTTTTGAGTAAAGAAAAAAGTCACCCTCGGTAGCTCTTACGCTTGGTATGAAATGTAGTATTGTTAGTCTTGAACTACAAGCCATATGAAGGGCCCTATGGAAAGCCTATTTCGACATATTCAATCAAGACCTCTGAGAACCCCAAAAAGCTCTAGCCCATTTACTACCGAAACGACATATCCACGCCTAAGGGTCCAAACTATCAAATTCCCTTTCCTCATATGAAACCTCAAAGTATGGTTACGCTCCAAGCAGACGAGCAGATCTAATGGATGGACCCCTCATTGCCCGAATAAGAGGTCGATCATGGATATATATGACGTTAGCGCATGTTCGTAGTGATTGCCTCAGATAGAGGAGAATAGATTAGAAAGACTTTCCTTTTTTTACAAATCTGGTAAGCTGGGGTACTTTCTTTATCGGTGACTAAAAAAAGAACACTTTCACTAGCAATTCTTTTTTCACAGCTTAAGTAAGAGGCTAGCAGAACTAGAAAGACTTTGTTTCCCCGGTACAGTGCTTTCATCTTTCACTTCTGCTCTGTCTTATTAACTTCTGCCTGATCTCATAGAACTGCTTTAGTTCTGATATGTGCTGATCTTACAATCACCGACTCGAAATCGAGGGGCTACACAATAGCAAATGTCGGCATATCTTCACATCCTAGTGCCTAGCCGGTCAAGGAGCCTGTGTTACTAATTGGCTTGATAGTTCAAGTAGTAAAGGAGGTCTGTAGTAGTCAAGTATGTCTGTCTCTAGAGGATAAAAGCAGTGAATCTTAGTACCTTGTAAGCATGAAGTCAGGCTTTTCTAACTCCTAGTTGGCTAGTAGAAGGATAGAGACTAAAGTTAGTTTACCCGAAGCAAAGTCAAGAGAGAAAGGTGGTAGCTCTCCATGGAAGCTATTCTAGCAAGTCTTCTGTGGAGGAGGAGTAGCACTAGGCAAGTAACTTATTTCACTAGTTGAGATGCACAGATTACTCATGGTTGTACGAGCTTGAATAGTAGTTGAAAGGACCAGCTATTGAATACACATTGAACCATGGAAATAACAATCTTAATGGGCCTATACCAGAGAATCTTGGCTCAACCTACAATGCCTAGTTCTTTCTCATAATAATCTATCCGGGTCGATTCCTTCCAAGTCATCTTTGTCTTTTCTCAGGTTAATATACCTGATCTGAGCTATGCTCAACATCGTGGAGTTTTTGATCAGTCTTACAATAGGTTGTCTGGGACCATACCTGATGAAAGAAAGGAGGTCACTTGTTTAAGTCAAGCAATAATAGAGACCGGGAAGAGTTAGCTGTGAAAATTCTACCTCTATTGGCCTCAACAAGGCAGAACCAAAGAGAGTAGTGAGGGGAGAGGAGTGAAAACCCGACTCAAGGCATAGTAGATCTATTCCTGCTACCTTACAACCTCCCCAGTCTCGCACAAAGACAAAGAAGGAAGATAGTTTCTGCATGAAGCTTGCTTGGCTAGAAAGAGAAAGTCTTCAGCCTAGCTCGACTGAAAGGAGAGGAAGCGCCTAAAAGAAAGCCTTTTTTCGAGATTTGAAACTCCTAAGAAATCTTGCCTTCCTCTGCTGCCCCAGGAGAGTGATTTTGTATGCCTGTTGGGTCTTTTCCTGGCTTTCTCACTAGGCAAATTATCAAGTCGATGCTCATATAACTGCATTTTGATACTCTCACTTTTCCCTTCGATGAGCTGATCTTGAATTGCAAAAGTGATAGCTTATATAACTGCATTCTGATACTTTTTTGAAGACGAGAAAGAGTTAGCCTTAAATCTTCGGTCTTTCATTTCAATAAGTAGTCAGCTGCGGGCTAAGAGGCCTCATAGTCAGACTTCACATTAATTGAAGCAGCTGTTGGAGAGAAGGCATCAGTCAGACCTGCAATTACCGGGTAGTATGCAGCGGCAATTTTCAATCATACAATGTGTACTTCGTAGTCTGACTTTTAGCGGTAGTCAGCTGTCCTCGTTCTCCTCTTTGAATTGCCCTATTGAGTAAGGTCGGGTCGGTGTTTGCAAAAATGTCGAGCCGACGGGGTCAGGTACCAGTAGTGACAATGGCAAAGGGGGGAGGAGGACACTCTAAGTGCTAGAATTAGATCTAACCGTATCCGGTCTTTCGAAAGAGAGTAAGCTCTTTTGTGAGAGTTCAGAAGAAAGATTTGCTAATTGTGAAATCATCTGCCCTGCTGTAAGAAAGGTAACTGCTTTCGTAGTAGCTCAACCAGTAGCCGGTCTAAGCAATTGAATCATCATAAGAGTGAAGTTAGCTGGGCTAGGGCTGTCATCCCTCCCCTTGGATGGCCTAGCTGTTGGTAGACTTCTTGTTTCCGGTGTAGATGTTATCAACTCGGTAAGGCGAAGAACAACCAAAAATTCCCGATAAAATGAAAGATTTTGATTGATTAATTAAATCGGATTGATGGACAGATAATGGCATTGATGCCATAGAAGAAGCTCCTGGTGGTTCAGTCAGGTAATCAGTAACCGTTGCTACCCTTGCTCGAGTTTGGGTAATTGTGAAATAATTCGCTGCTCTCGTCAACGTTGCTTGGCTCTCTCCTGTTGATTATGCCTGATCTGATGGAGGAAGAACCGCACTTAGAAATGTGAACGTAACCTTTGCTATTTCATCTCCGCCTATTAAGCAAAGTGGAAGAACTGATTGCACAATTGAAAGAATAGGCTCTGGTACTAATGACTTAACTGTTGATGGAAGGAACTTCACTCAAAGCTGGGGTAGGAAAGGAAGGGTCAATTTCGTAGATAAGAAGGGCGTCGTTAGCAGGATAAGGGCTAGATAGATATTTCATTAAGAAAGAGACGATTCGCCGAGGAACTCTAACTAGATCTAGCGAGTGTCTCCGTCAGATACACTCTTCGTGGTTAAACAATAGAATTGAGAAAATATTGTTATAATGAATGAGGAGCGTCGATTGGTCAATTCATTTTTTTGAGAGTTTGCTGCTTCAGAGAATCGAGATTGAGTTGGTCTTAAGTAAGGTACAAGATTGAAAAGAATGCTTTTGCATTCCAAGTGCAGAATCCCGTTCATTTCTTGGTTAACAGCCAAGCTACCCTCATTAAGTAAGACGGTTGGTCTTGCTAAAGAGAAGCTTAATCTACCTAAACAAAGATAGGGGAGCGCGGCACGACTATTTTATTATTTTCGGATGCAACCGGAACAAGATTTTTTGATTCTCTACGGGCAACCAAGCCCGAGTGAGCTTTGTTTTATGCTATCCTAAGATACTGATATGGACTTCTTGGGATCTGCAGATTCTTCATTAGATAGTCTATCAAGTACTGAGTCAGAGGCGCAAAGCGCTCCACCATTTCAAGAAATCCTGGAAAGCATAAGTCATACATTAAACCGATTACTAAATGAAACCGAAAGGCAGTTACCTCCCGAATGGTCCATGGCGGACCTTGTTCGGGCTGTAAATGCGGACGATTTAAGTAGCCTAGTGAGGGATTTTTATGACTTACAATCAAATGGAACTCATAGTTGGTTATGGGAAGAGATTTACAATCTCCTTGATTTAATCAACTATGTCTTCTAATGAGGTTCTGGAGTTCTAACATTTGAATTTCTCTTACATTCTACGTTCCCGAAACGGATCCTATCAAATATTTCACATTTTCTATGATCATCTCTATTTCAGGTATTCGGGGAATCCTCCTTAATAGACGAAATATTCCTATTATGTCAATGCCAATTGAATCAATGTTATTAGCTGTGAATTCGAACTTTTTGGTATTTTCCGTTTCTTCAGATGATATGATGGGTCAATCATTTGCTTCATTGGTTCCAACGGTGGCAGCTGCAGAATCTGCTATTGGGTTAGCCATTTTCGTTATTACTTTCCGAGTCTGAGGGACTATTGCTGTAGAATCTATTAATAGTATTCAAGGTTAAACATGACTCCTAGAGAGTTAGCAAAATACGAAGTTCTCTTTTCGTTCTCTTCTTTCTTTTTTCTTTTGACTTGGTTGGCAGGGTCAGGGCCTTTCTCGCTGGGCGAGCGCATCCGATTCTAAAGTCCTTTCCTAAACCACTTCCCGTTCAGTTGCTGAAAGATAGAGAGAAGGCTTTCTAAATGAGATTGAGTTCCACGAATATGCATGCTAGAAAGATGCTATTTGCTGCTATTCTATCTATTTGTGCATCAAGTTCGAAGAAGATCTCAATCTATAATGAAGAAATGATAGTAGCTCGTTGTTTTATAGGCTTTATCATATTCAGTCGGAAGAGTTTAGGTAAGACTTTCAAAGAGACTCTCGACAGGAGAATCCAGGCTATTTAGGAAGAATCACAACAATTCCTCAATCCTAACGAAGTAGTTCCTCCGGAATCCAATGAACAACAACGATTACTTAGGACCAGCTTGCGAATTTGTGGCACCGTAATAGAATCATTACCAATGGAATGCAGTGCGCCTAAGTGCGAAAAGACAGTAGAAGCTTTGTTATGCCGAAACCTAAATGTTAAGTCAGCAACACTTCCAAATGCCACTTCTTCCCGTCGCATCCGTCTTCAGGATGATCTAGTCACAGGTTTTCAGTTCTCAGTGAGTGAAAGATTTGTCCCCTCGTCTACGTTGAAAGCTTCTATAGTAGAACTCATTCGGGAGGGCTTGTTGGTTTAAAGAATGGTTCGGGTGGGGGCTGAATAAAGAAAACGAATAGAATAGAATTCATGTTCATGCTAAGAGAAGAGCGGATCCAATACCAAGACGACTTCTTTCCCAAGAAGTGCAGCAAGTAGTTTAGGAATTTGCGGATTTCATGCCCCACGAGTGAGTTGCCAAGTGCCCCCTAGGAGGGCCAGTCTAGCACAAGATCAAGTTGGAGCCTGGAGCCAAAGACCCTTAACTTACTTAGAGTGGGGCTGGGTTTAGCAGATTCCCCCCCCCCCCCAACTAGCATCTATTAGTTAAGGGGCTTGGTTGAACTCAAGAGAGAATTGAAGGAAGTCATTTTTTCCTATTTATATTCCAGCCTGCAAGGCTCTTTTTCCCTATATTGCTGGGGAAAAGGTTGGGGAGCCCTTGTTTTATTCGAGAAAGGGAGCCTTGGGCATTGATTATCCGGCGCTCAACAAGGTAACCTAACCATTAAGAACAAGTATCCACTTTGATTGCACACGTATATCCTTTCCCGTTCGCGTGTTTTGTCTAAACTGGAATCTGTGGTGAAAGATCAAAAGATTTTCAGGTATCATCCTTTCTTCACTCGCCCATTATAGACAAGACTGGCAAAGATTGGTCGTCTAAGGAAGGAATACCAACTATTGATTTTAGAGCTCCCGTCTTATTCAATTTTTTTAAGATGAATTGTACCAAGCTTTCGAAGAACAGTTTACAAAATTGACACACGCTCGTTATGATTATGAAATTAGCGTTCCTCTTAGGATTGTGAAATGGAAGGAATTTCATGTACCCAAATGGGAGGAGTTCTTGAATGGACTAGGTCTTGTTGGAAAGGTTATGTGTTTAGTCCCAGGGGGCGACCCAGTTACTTGTATTGGGGCTTTCATATCTGTGGACGATAATGGCTTTATTCAGATTATTGAAACCGGTTCTTTGGAATAGTTGTTTTTTATAAGAGCTTAGTTACATTTTTTGTTCAAATATGCATATCTTTATACCTACTTTTCGACCCAAGACCTTACCTTAATCACCGGAAAACCCCTTTTTTATTTCAAGCTCAGTGGTAGAGCGGTCGGCTGGTAACTGACTAGTCGGGCGTAGGTTCTAATCCTACTTGAAAAGCTTCCGTGGACTTTTTTGATTCTCTGCTTACTCCAGCCGTAAGTAAACTCGTAGAATGTGATGTCATCCACTGACTCCTAATTGCGAGAAGAGAATTTCCGTCCTAAGTCATCGAAAAAGAGGAGGCCTAGCTCTGATATGAAAAGGCTCCATGGATGATTGGGGCTTAGGGCAAAAGAAAAGGAAGATCGTCTTGACTCTCTTAACTATGGTAAAATAGTTAGAATGTAAACGAAATACATGCTTCACTCTCGCTTTCAGTATTTTGACAAGAGGGGATCCGCCGAGTTGATTGAGTTGTCCTCTCAAAAGAAGAGACTGGCTAGAGATCTCTTTATCAAAATCTTTGGAACAAATGGTTGCCCTTGAAAATGGGTGTTTTTTTTGTGGAAACTACGACTAATTAAGAATGCCATTGTTGTTGATAGCAGTTTTCCCAGTTTTGGATTGAATTTTGCCTCCAAATGTGTTTGTTGTTCCTCTCCTTGCATAGAAAGAGTGGAGCACCTCTCTCAAAGTGATATTCCTAGGATAATAGGGTCTCATTTCTCTCCCAGTCTCAATGTGGATTTCTTTTATATAGCTCCTCTCTTCACCATCTTTTGGCTTTCTGGTTTAATGGTGCCAAATCAAAATCACAGTGTGGCTTTCTTAGGATCATGCTAGTGAGATGTGCTTGCTGGGAAAGGACATTTTTCTTTATCAAAATTATCTCATGTCTTTAGGGGGGACAACAAAGCTGCAGATTGTTTCGCTGCTTATGGTCATGCTCATTCAGACTCCATTTTATTTAATAGCTTAGGGTCTCTTCCTTTTGATTCTAAAAAGCCTGTTCATAGCCAAGGCATGTTCTTTTTTAGAGCTCCCTAGCTTGTTTTGATGTTCAGGGGTAAGGCCTTTATGTCCCCCCCTTGTCTTTTCTTTTTTTGCAATAAATAGCGAATGCGAGATGATAGTTCTCTGTCGGGTGAGAGAAGAGATAGAGCACAGTATTCTCACGGGCCGAAGTGCAAAGCCCGGTAGCCTATCCGTAGTTCGGAAGGAAGCCCCATATGGTCCAAATCAAGTTGCTACTTTCCCTCTGCGCTTATAAGTAGATAAGGTCAGACTTTGCTTGCTCTGAGACATCTTGAAAAGGGAAATCCAATATCAAAATGGAAATGTTTGAAATTGCTCCTTGACCCAAGAAAGGAACAAACGGGATTCAGAGCTTACTGACCCTTATGCACAGATGGGGGGTATAGAGAAAATGGTTATTCCTACATCACAACCTAAAAATCTTGACCCAATCATTGCGGGTATCCTTGAGGAGGGCCGGAAGTACCTTCCTACAAACATAGTGGAGTGGTAAAGGCGAATGAGCCGGTTTACCCAATTAGGAACAAAAGCATGAAATTGCTTGATGGTTCTTGGTTTACGAGAATTAATTATGCTGATGGTCTATCTACAATCATCCCCTATGCCCCAATTCGATCTGATTCAGGGCAGGAGTAGGCCGTGTATTATCTCAGCAGGGTCTTCCCGAAGAAGAATTATTCGCCGATCGAGAAGATGTGCTTATCGCTCTACTTTGCAGCAACCAAGCTCCGACACTACTTCCTTTCCACAACAATGTTGGTAATTGCTCGAACGGACCTGATTAAGTATATGCTGACCCGACCCGTGTTGAAGGGGAGAATTGGGAAGTGGATCCTAGGGCTATCCGAGTTCACTTTTCGGTACGTTCCTATGAAGGCGGTCAAAGGACAGGCATTTGCAGACTTCTTAGCAGATCATGCCATGAATGTTTTCGAACCAATGGAGCTCGATGAAGAATTCCTCGCCTTTGCAGAGGTGGACTCTCTACTTCGATGGATCTAGCACTTTGGGGGCTGCAGGGGCCGGAGTGGTATTAATATCACCTTCAGGCCAGGCCCCAGAAGCTGCTAAAAGATTGAAGTTTCAAACCTGGCGGTATCACCATTTAGGAAAAACTGCTTTCATGCGGTCTCTTTCTTTTTCGGATGAAGGTGAGTGGCAAAGTCTGGTTCAGCTAAGGAGTAGGTCGTCCTATCTGATAGATCGGGTAATGCTCAAATTATTTTTTTCGTATTTGGGGTTGACGCCGAGAAAGACTAAAGACGGGAGAGCACGCACATACATCCTCAGGAAAGCACTAATGAACTACGCCATCCCTGACACTTATGCGGTGAGATACCAACGATCCGATATCGCCCACAAAGCTAAGAGGCCACTGGCACCGAATAATACCCATAAAGAACGCTAACCGCCACCGGCATCTGATGCCATCCGATAAGGGAGAACTCTTTCGGCAAAGAATTTTACCAAAAAGCCCGATTCGAATCATTATGCTCGATAAAAGGAAAAAGGGAAGCTCAAATAGAAAACAGCACTACTGCTAGTAAGATAGCGATCCAGGCAAGCGCCAAAGAAAAAAGGGGGCACAAGCAAGCGCAAGAATCAAAGAAGGGCAGGATCGAAGAGCTTAGACAGCAAGCAAGTGAGAAGGAATCCCTCAAAGGCACTGAGGCAAGGTCTTTCCGATGCGCGCTAAGACAACCACTCATGTCTACTTCTAATGCGCACGCACCAGAGCTCTCTCCTGGGAACCCCTTCCCTAGTAAAGAGGTACTGACCATCGGTTCTATCGTGCCCCAGTTAACGAGAGCCTCAGATAGACTAAGGATCTTAGGTGAGACCTAGAGTGCATCCAACTAAACGCCAAAGAAATCGGAAGAAAACTTCCACATCTGAGATTCCATATGTGACTAACTCAATTGAGAAATGCCCCTCTTGTACGCTAACATTCTAGGATGGCAGGGTTGGTAAAACTCTCCTTGATAAATAGAGTATGGAGAGCTCGGGTGGGGCATCAACCACTGGTTGCGGGCCTGTCGAGATGCTTCCTTGCAGAACCCGGATATAACTCAATAGAGTGAGTAGGAAACCTTGTAAAGGCGAGCAGGAGAATATAGATCGGTCTGTCTTGTCTTAGACTAGCCCTACTCCATCTTGGCTATCTTAAGCTTATTCATAAGCTTTTCATTATCTGCTTACTACTAGGGCTTCCAAATTACTACGCCGGGTCTCATAGCCCCTGTGACCTTCACTTCACAGCCTGATTAATGAACTTGAAAAGCGCACTTCTATAAACAACTTCCAGAGAGAAGCGAACGAGGTCTTCGTCCACCGCGACCATCCTCTAGGAGTGCGAGACAACCTGACCGCTAAACAGTTCCTTGAGGGTAACCCAAGGGGAAACTGCAGTAAGGTGATACCATTTAAGGTAGTTTAACCACTGGCGCATCCATCCATAAAGGAGAGAGTACTCCAGGAAATATCTAGATTCCTCAGTCTCGAACAGCTCATCGGGGGGCAATATCAGCTCCCGGGGCTTAAGTTTGGCTCGAAGGAGTCTCACCAAACGCCCATGAGCTTCTCGACTGAGTGGTCGTCCCTTACCCAACCAGAAATCAAGCCAGTAAGAAGGAGAGAGCAATTTTAGCCCCATAACCACAAGATGGAAATACCGCCTTGGGCGCCTATGGTCTAGCCTTGCAAGAACACGATATCCAGCTCCACCCAGCCTACAAAGCAAACGGAAATCACGCACCGAATAACGGTGAGCAACAGCCATCAACCCGTAGGGGTGGAAAGTGTTTAATAACGCTTTTTAATGGATACCGGGGAGAGATCGACTGTCAAATCTCAAACCCTAAAGTTATTCGCAAATTCCGTGGACCCACTCCTTGATATTAGTGATTTCTCTTTCGAAATAACCACCTGCATGAGGTCAAGGGACTCCTTGTAACGGGTCGCGACATTCTCATCCGTGATTACTACGTCATCCACGGGCACGGCGTAGTTGGTAAACACCCTTCCCGGGTACACAAGTTCTGCACACCACCAAATAATTAGGTGGTGGGACAACGCGAAAAGAGGCCATGCGCCAAGATAGCCCAACGGGTACCCAATCAGAAATCTGACAGTAGAGCCCGGGGTCGTCACCCACGGGGCATCAAATTCACCACCAGATAAGATAACAGGAAACTAACCGCTTCGGATAAATCCTGGTCGAATAACTTAGATACAACCCTCTCAAGAAACACGATCGGCCACCTATCGGTGGCAGACCGCTGATCAAAAGAGAAGCAGACCCGCGAACCAACAAGCAAGTCGAGAGGCTTTGTTTGATTAAATGTACCGCCCATAGGTATACTACGCAGAGTATCTGCTGAAGAAGAAGGCTAGCTATACAGGGGAATCTCTCTATATATGAAAAATCAATGTACATCGACCCTTTCCTTACCCCGACAGTCTACCTTTCTTATGGCCCTCAAACTACTTTATAAAGAGCATATGAAAGCGGGGGACTCTCGGTTGATCTTCTTCCGACTTATCCTTTGAAGTCTAGTTCTGTTCTTTCTCAAGAACTCACTCCAGCATCTGAAAAATCTAACTGAACAGTCTTCGCTACTTCGTGCCGCAACTTGGAAGTCTAGCTACCTATCCGTCTCCACCTCTGGCAATAGATCTATTCCACTCTGTCCAAGCAGTCGCGTTTCGCTTCTTTCCTGTAAGTCAGTCGATCTTGATTTGTTCTCCTCTCCCTTTCGGTAGTGATCTTAACTCTATGATTCGATTCTTTATTCTATTCTCGAATTTAGCTTTATCAAATAACTGAGGATTCGAACTGAATAAGAGAGAGCGAAAGACTTCCCGCGTAAGAGCTCTTCAAACCTTGTCCTATCGAACTGCGCTGATACTCCTGGAAGTGTAAATGGTTTGAAAGAAGAATCATATATTAGAGAGAAAAGATT